GTCCGCACTCCACTGAAGAAAACATTCGTCCGAGCGGATCTTCCTTCCTCCGAATCAGATCAAGACGCGTCATCTTAGATTCGCGACGATACGGAACGCGACGAAATACAGTATCGAGTATCTTTTATCGTTTACTTCCACCTACGTATCGCTTCTCCTTACGAATAATCGCCGTGGATCGGCGAATTAGATATCTCGCAGTCCCGCTTGCTCGATCTCGACGCGCGTTCGTTTCCGTCGCTACCACCGTCGTTCAATATCTCAGACAGCTTCTAATACGGCCGTTGTTCGCCATATATTTCCAAATTGCGCACGGCGGCTAATAGGAATTTTGATTGACCAAATTAAATAGTTATCGAAGGAGATCCATGTGTTTTTATTTGGCCTCTTTTTTTTTTCTTTCTTCCTGGCATCGATTAACTTTATTAGGAGCCCGCTCGTTTGTGGAACATTAAAAGTGGGATGGTAGGAGGAGGACAGAGAGAGAGAGAGAGAGAGAGAGAGAGAGAGGGAGAGAGAGAGAGAGACGGGGGGGAAGGGTGGACGAGTCCTCGCGCGGGTGCGAGCGGATTGCGGGAGGACGATAGTGGAATCGGGGCGGAGGGGGGGGAGGAAACGGGGTGGCAAGGGGACCGAGTGGAGGATGGGGTGAAAGGAAGTTCACCGAGGCAATTTGTTGTTAAGTCGGAACTCATTTTCTAGAACCCACACCCGACTAATGCCGCGACTGGGCCTGCAGGCCACCTCATTACCAGACCTAGTCAATTTCAATTTAATTTGCCAGTCGGCTGTTTCGCGGAAAGGCAGGGTGTACGTGCGCGCGCGTGTGCGTGTGTATGGGAAGGGGGAGGGGGGAGAGGGGGGGGATCATTATTATCTAGAAAAATTAAAGCTAGCAGCGAGAGAATGTGTGTTTCGTCCGTTGTGTGTGCATATGCCCACCGCGCGCATAACGCGGCAGATTTTCTGCTGTTCGTGCGGGAAGCTGTGTTTATTATGTTGGACAAAAATAAGAAAAGGTGACAACATTCAACCTACAACCCTGCAATTACACGTGTGTGTATGTGTGTGTGAGATCTTGTAAAGAACAAATAATCGATAGATTCTACAATCGAAATGATGCGTGGAAGATCCTGGCTAGATCGGATAATTGCGAAATAATACCATAACACGGTTTGCCGACGATCGTCAAGGAAGTTCGCGCGCGAGGACTCGTCCACGACTGTTCAAGATGCGAATGAAATTGATGGCTGCCGCGCATACAAAAGCACGAATCCCGGTCGACGTGCCGGTCCGAAATTTGGATTTTTAATCGCACAAAGCGCTAATGAATCCATTTAGTCTCGCGAAAGGGGGGAGGGACGGCCAGGGAGGCTCGACCCTCGCGCTCGATACAGGGATCTTGGATAAACGGACAAACGAACCAAATAATTACGCTAATTAAAGCCGCCCAATTTGTGCTTTAGACAATTAAAGTGCCGAGGGTAAGGTAGTCTAACTCATTAACAGGCGGGGGTCGCCTACACACACGGGCGCGCGTTCTTCGTGTGTGAATACATCGTTTCGGAATACGCGCATCCGCACACGTCCTTGTGTGTCTCTTTCTCTCTCTTATTCCCTCTTGTTAGCGGCAGAGTGTACGCGCCAAAGGGGCACGCATAATGAGCGAGGGTGCCTGGGTGAGAGGGCAATCCCCGGGGTGAGGGTGGAGGGCGCACTTGCTCGCGAATCTTTTGAAATTGAGGGTCACGCTATATTTTATAACTTGTCGCTTGATATAATCGAGAATCATGAAGCACTCGTGCGATATACAATATTACCAACAAATATTCATGCTACAATCAAGTCGTGTCGTGAGGTTTATATCAATTTCATCGTGTTCTCATTTCGTAGATCGATTTGGATTAATTATTAGTCCCTGGAGATCTCATCCAATTCTCGAATTACTGCTTCGTTGCAGAAGGTACATGCGTGAAACGCGCCTTTAGAGACGCTTGTTAGAGCAGGCAAGATTGACACGTTGGTCGCAATTAAAACGTAAGGGGGACCGCGTTCGCGCAAATTGCGTATCAAGTTAGAAGAGTCGGACAAGGAGGGGCGAGGCATTCGTATTATCATTGGTGAAATCAACTAATTAGAAATTGCGTAGACCGCTCGTTAAAGATCGCCCTGCCGACCGTAATCGCCAATTACTCTCTTAGTGCGGACTGCAGTGAACTTCGCTCATTAAAATTATTAAACGCCGCGGGCGACGAGGCTCGGCATTTGACGTTTCTACGGTGAGTGCAGCGCGCACTACATTGTGGATCGCGCCGAATTTTTCCGATCCACCCGGCCGTGGAAGATTGTAAGAAATATAAATTGCAAATCGTATTTTTTACGGCGCACATTCTTTAACCAAGTCCGGTTTTCCTCCGGAGATCATATACATAATAGAACGTAAATTTGTACCGTACGAATAATAACAAGTGCAGGAAGTAATTAACTGTATTCAGAGTTAAAATATTGTATATTTAGCTGTAAATTTTTCCTACCTCGTTTAAGTTTAAGTGTACACACGTGTACGGATTCCGTACGCGAGCGAGATAAATCTTGGGTGCGATCGATGTTTTATCAAAGATGTATAGGGATTGTTATTAGTCGGTCGTGCGGCGCGCGATAATATCGCATCATAACAGACGGTGTTCGTTGTCATTCATCATCGGAGCTGAACCGTTATTCGCTAGTTACTTTCGATCAATTACTCCACCAGCAGGGCACGAAGTGCCTCACTCAGCCTATTAGGATGGAATACTCGATATTTAATTTAATACAACCGTTCTGATTACGACGAAGATCTATACAAATGTCGGAACGACAAAAATTCTACCGCAGCACTTTAATTAACCGCTCCGACTATCACGTTTGCTGCGATCAATATAGTTGTCAAATACATCGAAACTGTTAATGAGCAAGGGGCTCATTTCAAGTAACGATAATTAAGTAAAATAACGAATAATTTGCGCGCTCTGTTTGACATTTTTTACGACTGTCATAAATAAGACTCACGGATAATCGAAAATTCTTGCTTGTCATCAGCTTTCCAGAATGGTCACGTAAAACACGCGTGAATAATGATACTGGTAATGGCGTCGGACGATTAAGAGGCCAGAACGAGAGAGAGAGAGAGAGAGAGAGAGAGAGGAGAAGGAGAAGCAGATTTTATGGCTGATCCTCGATCATCAGCTATATAATTCCTTCTATCCGTTCTAGCTGATTGACTTGGCCGTCGGCCTCTAATTAGCAATTATGGAGAAATCGAAAATGCGCTGAGTGATTCGACCAAGCGGGATGCATATCTACATATCTCCGGTTATTAAGTTCACGAGCGATTCGGCCCGGAAGTAGATACACGACCGATTCGATGTATAAAGAGAGACTGCAATTAAAATCTACCACTTCGATTCATTTATGAGAGTCGCCTGACGCCTGAAACTTGCCGAGGAAACGATATCCTTTGATTAGTATCTCGCCCACGTGCGGCCGACGAGCGATGCGTCTTTATAACGTCTTACATAACGCGCAAAAGTTTTAATCAATGGTTAATTGGTTTGTAGAAAAAAATAATTGAATTAATAAACACGTCGGAATTTTGAATAACGATTTCCCGACAATCGTTTTTATTCGCATTTAAAACGTAGATGGATAAGACGCGTCTCACGATCGATCATCGTATTTAGTTAATGCATGAAACACCGTGTATACGATACTTCGCTTTCTCGAACTGCGTGTCGATTTACACACGAGAAAGTAACAACACACGTTTGAAAAATCTCACACATTTCCAAATTTGCACATTGCTATTTTCTTGCCGTAAAAAGTAGGCAAAATTGTCCGAGCCAGGGCTTGTTTGCATCCGCATTTTGCAGCAGAAGAGAGAGAACGCGCATTTATAATTGAACCGTTGCGAACGATTGAAGACAAACCACAAAAAAATGAAAATAAAAAGGGAAGAAAGAAAAAACAACAAAAAGCAGGGAAAAACGAGAGAGAGAGAGAGAGAGAGAGAGAGAGAGAGAGAGAGAGAGAGAGAGAATAAAAAGGGAAAGATTGAAACGTCATTCGGGGGAGCAATCATCGAGATACTGGCCGCGTGATCAGCTGTGGATCCCGGGCAGATAAATTAGCAATTTAATTATAGAACTGTCAGCCGGTAATTAAATTAATAACGAGAAACCTCAAATCCAATCCGCTCCGTCGTCGTAACAGCCTTATGCGCGCTCTCGGAGTAAAGTCCGACGCAGACATCAATATGTCGACTACCTATATCGCGCGTTTCAAAAGTCGATTTAATTAAATATTCCATTAGCGTTAATTGCGAAGTTCGATTTTGACAGTGGCACGTACACTGTGACTTCGGGGAACGATTTTATATGGCTCGAGATCGATCGTTAGACCAACAAATCTTTTTCCATTTGACGCAGAATCTCAGCTTTTTCAAGTTTCATTCTTGAATCCGCTATTGAGGAGATGACGTGCGTGTGCGACCGGTGTGTACCGGTGCGTCGGATGCGTCGGATGCGTCTCCCTCGCGGAGGAGCTTCTTACACCGTCGTGCGGATTGGAGAGAGATGTGAGATCGTGGCGCTCACCTCGAATCCCCATTCGACATACCTATGTATCGTTACGTAGCTAATTGCTGCATAAACAGCCGACTTTACGAGCCAACGGGTATATGGCTGACAACCGCTTCGCAAACATTAACTGCCATTAACGCAGGATACGAGCGCATCGTGTCGCATCGCGGCGTATTTCGAACTCGATGTGTTCGATGCGAACGAAATTGTTGAAAAATAATAATAATAATTGCAGACCCGACGGCCATAGTCAGACATCTGGCGCGGCTGTTCTCGGAAACACTTTCATCGTGATAATGCGTTTTTGTTCGGAATATCGCGAATCATCAGTTGTGTCACGATCTTCAACCAAATCTTAATCAAATCTTTTTGGTTTTGTCGCAGAATGTTCGGCAGCAGTGGCGTCTGCGGGAGTTGTGGCAACGCGATACCCGCGAACGAAATGGTCATGAGGGCTGGCGACTCGGTGTTTCACGTGAAATGCTTCAACTGCAATAAATGTGGCGGTCAGCTCGTCTCCGGCGACAGGTGAGTCTTCCGCTCGTGAATTTTTCCTCTTTCTTAGACTACGGTTACAGTGGATGGTTCGTCTTCTGATAAACTTTTATTCTAACGAATTTGTCTCGACTACAGGAGAAATTGGTGGTTCCAATAAATACATATTCTAATGAAATATGGTCTTGTAATCTAAAAGTTTGAAGTTTTAAGAGCTTTGAAGGTATTCGTATAATTGGGTTTTATTTTAAGATAGTCTTAAGATGCTAAAATAGGGCTTTGTGATTGGCTTATAACATCTACAGATTATTAAGACGTTTTCGAATATAAGAACTATAGCTGGTATTCATAGTCGAGTCTTATGTTTAAGATTAATTTTAAGTATAATTTTAAGATATTAGAAACCAATCAGAGTACCATTTCAGCAAAAACATTGCTTAAGACTGTCTTGAAAGAAGAACTAGGAATACCGATCTTATATACCTATTTCTATTAATGTAGATTAACTTTAGGATTTACTTTTGATGTTTTCCTAGTTCTAAGAATTAGGGCTATATTTTAAAACGTTCTCTCCAAAGAAAAGAATTATAGTATATATGTTACGTTACTATATATTTTGAGTAAAATTTTCCTCGCAGAGGATACTTAGAATGTATCCTAGAAAAGAATAAAGAGTACATTAAATCGAGATTAAAGTTAATCTACATTAATAAAAATGAACATTAGTATTGCAATTACACAAGATGAATGATTTATACTTTAAAAAGTTTATTATTAAAAATTTTATTTGTGTGTAAAAGAACTGTATACGTGAATACAGTGTTTGCTTCAAGAGAAAGAAATGGAAAATACTGTTTCTCGACTAATCTCCTATTTCTTGCAAGATACGTCGGTTATAATAAACTTTTTCCCTTATATCCTACAGACTTCTATTTTCGAACTGATTAATTTCAATATCCATTCCAGCAAGTCACACGAATTCAGACGAAGAAATAAACTCGTTTAAACGACAAATATATTCGTCAGAACACGCATCCACTGTATCCGTATAAGCCTTATTATCGGTTATTTTGCTTTACTTGGCGAGAAAGCCTTTACATGACACGCAATTCTCACGATTTCAGATATTACCTATTATCGGGCTCGCCGATTTGCGAATCTGACTGGCACAAGATAGTGAAATCGTCGAGCGTCGCGGCAGCGGCAGCCGCGGCGGGCGGAAACAGCGGCGCACCCGTTAGGAAAGGTAAGGTCGGCAGGCCTCGAAGGAGCCGCGAATGAGGCGGCAACCCGGTCGGTCGCCCGAAGAAGGTGCAACCCTCTCCGCAGCCGACGCCCCCCGTCGTACCTTCGCCTCAGGTAGATGTAGTGGACGTCGCCGTCGGAGTGGATCCCTATTCGCCGCCTCCGCCGGGTCATCAGCACTATCATCAGTATCACCATCATCACCATCACCAGATGGCACTCGTGCATCCGGGTCTGGCGGCTCAGCAATCGCACCTCCAGGCGTCCAGCTATCAGGACTGGTCGTCCTGGGCTCAGGATACTTGCGATTAGACTGCGCTGTCCGCCATAACAGGGACTGTACCCCAAAGGACATCGCGATGAAGTATGAGCCTAATTTGCCTAACGTTGCGTGCCCAGACTCTTCAAGAGAATCGCAAAGAAGGAAAAAGGCCAGCACAGCGTACCTTGGAAACCTCCATCGGCGACTCTACGAGTGTCTCTGGACTTGGAACCGTGTGATACCGAATGTGTTTGAACTTGCCGCGGTAATCGAATGTCTTCGTACATGCGGTGCCGTGATGTTGAACGTAATTGAACTCGCCGCGGATACCGAGCGTTTTTATGTTCTGACGTGTGTTGACATGTCGAGTGCGTCCAAACTTTACGTGGATGCTGAGGAATCTCTGAACGTCTTTGAACTTGGATTCACAGAATCACAGATATATTCTCTGGAACTTGAAACGCGAACGTTTTGGTTCTACAGTGGATGTGCAAACTTCTTTGATTCAAACTGACAAAATAACAAAACTCTTTTGAAGAAAGGTTTGCACCAATGTCGAGATATCGAGATGTCACGAATATCGAAAGCATTCTTAAGTTAATTCAGCATTATTTGGACACTATTTTTTGAAAGATAGCGTCCAAACTTTTAATCTGAACTGTTGATCACATCTGCGATAAAAGTTGAGACGACACTCGACACCGCATTGCAGAAGCACTTTCGCCACGAATCCGCCGGTCTTCTTAATAATAATCTTTGCTCAATTGTAAAGAATCGAAGAAAGTTTAAGATACGACCCATCGTGCATCCATCATCAGCCGCAATAGTATGACGTCAGTACTCTTCTTTAAAATCCTTTACAGTCATTGTATTACGATTACTTTAACACAAGATGCGAAATGTAGAATTCATTGACATTAATACAACCTGCAACAAGCGATTTTTCGCACGATTTTTGCGAAATATCCAAATAATTCCTTTCCGTCGATACCATTCTCAAGATCATTGCTAAATCATTTTGACGTCAAAAGTCTTTATCTTATTTTATTATACGATTAAGATTATCTCAATTTTCGTTACGATTTTAGTCTAAATTTTGAAATTGAATGATAAATATATATTTCCGCGAGCGCGTTCTGTCGATTCTTAGTTGTCGCCACTTCGGAGACGACACGCGTCCTTGGAACGATGTTGCGTGCTAAATTCGACATGTCTGATCAACGAAGATCTAATCGCGCGAGAAGTATGGCAATCGGAAGGGGAGGGAAAGCGAGAAAGAGAGAGATAATAATTCGACGGCGATCGAGAAATACGAAACGACGGCAACGCGCAGTTCTGGACCCTTAGAAAATTATTTTTCTTTCAAAATCACCGTTCTCCCGTCTATCCGCCGCCGTGCTTCGTAAACTCATTAGGCGGCCCTTGTTCCCGCCATCGTTAATTGAGTGTCGAGGTGAGACGAACGACACGGAATTATCATTCGAATCCTTCTTGTTAAGCATCCTCTCTCCTTTCTCATTCTTTCTCTCCCTTTCCTCTTTCCGTTTTACTTGTATTTTTACGTTCTCTCTCTTCCTTTCTCGAGAGTTCATCATTTTCGAAATAGCATAATCAATTAATCCCTCTTGGGATGCCACTTTGAATTCGGTAACCTGTTAGTAACTCCTACTGATGATTGAAGAGGAATTTTTTGAATTTTGTAATTCGATCGCTGATAATGATTCCAAAGAGAGACGAAACGTTCTCCGATCGACATCATCTTCTTTCATTAAAGTAATAAAAGTTTTTATTCTATAATTTATGTGCATCTTTAACCGCACTTTCATTAGCCTTATTTTTGCCTTATCATTGATATCAATTAAGTCTCTCGTATACAAGACAAAATCCTCTCGCTGCTATGTTGCACAACCGAATTAAATTTTATCGTAATCATAATTACTTTACAAAGTTTCATATAGCGCAGAGGCAATCGATGTCGTTCTCGAGAAAGAATACAGCTCAATTATTCCCCCCTCTCTCTCTCGCGTTTAGCGAAATCTACATTATGCATTTATTGTTAAAGTGAATCAACAGGGTTGTCTGAAGAAACGTACGTTTGCCAGTAACACACAACGTTACGATAAGTCTAACTCTCGATCGAACGAGCGTCGATCCTTCGTCTTAAATACTCGATGTTCATCCGTCGAGCATTTTCAAAGAGTAAACGCGTGCTACTGGCACGCGAACCGACACCCGTTGCGCATACCTATACGTTAGTGACATAACTCGCGGCGAGCAAGAAATGACATTGGCATGCAACGGCGTGCTCGAAGCTCAAAGTACAACGGATTCAGAGGCGGAATGAGTTTCGGCGTGAAATGTGTATCATAAGAGCAAAGTCGCCCTGTTACTCGTTTCATTCGTCAAATACTCTCATTTTAAATGACGATTCTCGAGCGCATTGCCACAATCTCCGATTGAGCGTCGCTCGCACTTTGAAAGCTCGCACCGTCGTGTTATGATTCATGCGAGCGGAATGCCGTGAATATCGGAACCACGGAATTTCACGAAAACGACGCTTAAGAGTCATGATGATCCAACGACTCGCTACTAAAGGAATTGCGAATCCGGACGAGAGCCGGATTGCGAGATCACGATCGCTAGTCGACGCCGCCAAGGATCGAAGTCGATTTCATGACTCTGCAGGCGACGACGCCGACGGAAACGGTAAAAAGCGGCGATAAAAATATACAGAAGTGTACATGTAGATTGGGCAAGAAGTCGCGCTGAAGGATTATGTCAAGGATGCACAAACTCTTTCGACATCGGCTATCAGATAGAGGGCAATGGCGCTTGTCACAGATCTTCGATCAGACGCACGAATAAATTCCTAAAAAAAAAAATAATTATCTTAATTCTCATTTTATTATTCTCCACATTTTTCGGAGTGAGATTTCACTCCAAAGAATTTAGAGAGTACGTTTCTCGGATATACAAATTAGCAGAAATTCGTGTAAATTGTGCGACTGAAAAATTTATATGAATCGAACTTGTATATTCGAACATGCAATAATCGGGGAACAAATTTATTCAGCTTGTTTCTGTTTCTTTTCGTTGGCACGTGCGCGTGTCGGATTGGAGTTTGTGCATCGTTGAATTGTGTAATTTAATCTTGTACATAGGGTACATTTTGTATATTGTTAAAAGTTTGTGTGATATAAATGGTTATGTATTTACTATCGAGCGCGAACGGCGAACGGGGCATCAGCGCGTTTATCCCACGGACGATCGGCCGATACGCGACGTGCCATGGTTTTCCGTGGTCCTGCATCGTCGAGTGCGGTAACGTCGACGACGGAATACATTACTTGCGAAATGTCGATTTCGCATCGATCCGAAGTTTTGCTCGGCGTCAATAAGTCGAATTGTCCCGTCTCGAATGTACATAACATTAAATTTTGCATCATTTTTTTTTTCTTTTATTTCCTTCATTTATTCGTTCATTTAACGTTTTTCGTTATTGCACGTGATCTAAGGAAATTATTGAAACGTAGCGTTTCGTCGCCGAGCGAGCGATTGCTAAAGTCTAATTTACAATATGCTCTTTTCTTCTTGTTTCTCGCTTTTTTTTTTACCACTTTTTACTTCTTGCTTTTTTGCCTCTTATTCAGTTTCTTTGCTTTCCGTCGCCCGAGATAAAAGTTGATGAACTTCGGAAGAGACAAGAAACGCGATTGTACAACAAAAAAAAACAACGATCGCAAAGAAAGAAAAAGGCACGAGATAAAAAGCAAGAAACAAGAAGTAAAGAACACATTGCAGATTAGGCTTTCGA